TGAACTTTCCTTTTAGGACTGCTTTCATAGTGTCCCATAAGTTTGAGTAGGTTTTTTCTTTATTTTCATTGAATTCAAGGAAGACTTTAATATCTTTCTTTATTTCTTCCTTAATCCAGGTATGGTTCAGTAGTTGACTGTTCAGTTTCCATGAGTTTGTAGGCTTTCTGGGGGTAGCATTGTTGTTGAATTCTAACTTTAATCCATGGTGATCTGATAAGACACAGGTGGTTAAGAATATTTTTTTGTAACTGTGGAAGTTTGCTTTGTTACCGAGTATGTGGTCAATTTTCAAGAAGATTCCATGAGCTGCAGAGAAGAAGTTATATTCTTTCCTATTTGGGTGGAATGTTCTATAGATGTCTGTTAAGTCCATTTGCTTCATTACCTCCAATAATTCTCTTAATTCTCTATTAGGTTTCTGTCTGATTGACCTGTCCCTTGGAGAGAGAGGTGTGTTGAAGTCTCCTACTACTAGTGTGTGTGGTTTGATGTCTGCCTTGAGTTCTAGTAATATTTCTTTTACATAAGTAGGTGTTTTTATATTGGGGGCGTATATATTCAGGATTGAGACGTCCTCCTGATGAATTGTTCCTGTTATGAGTATAAAGTGACCGTCTCAGTCTCTTCTGATTGATTTTAGTTTGAAGTCAGTTTTGTTAGAAATTAGTATGGCCACACCTGCTTTTTTCTTAGGACCATTTGCTTGAAACACCTTTTCCCAACACTTTACTCTGAGTAGGTGCCTGTCTTTGTGGTTGAGATGTGTTTCTTGCAAACAGCAGAATGTTGGATCCTGTTTTCGTATCCAAACTTTTAGCCTGTGCCTTTTTATAGGTGAATTGAGCCCATTAATATTAAGTGATATTAATGACCAGTGATTGTTTACTCCGGTTATTCTTATTGCTTTTGGTAGTAGAGATTGTGTCTCCCTTCTTTGAGATGTGCTCGTGAAGGGTCATTAGATGCCTGGGTTATTGTAGGCAGTGTTGGCAGTGTTGGATTCCTTGGGTTGCGATTTTCCTTCTATTACTTTCTGTAGGGCTGGATTTGTGGCTACGTATTGTTTAAATTTGTTCTTATCCTGGAATGTCTTGTTTTCTCCATTGATAATGAACGATAGCTTGGCTGGGTATAGTAGTTTGGGTTTGCATCCATGGTCTCTTAGCTTCTGCAGAACCTCTATCCAGGACCTTCTGGCTTTCATAGTTTCCATAGAGAAGTCAGGTGTATGTCTGATCGGTTTACCTTTATAAGTTACTTGCCCTTTTTCTTTTGCAGCTCTTAATATTCTTTCTTTAACCTGTATATTTTGTGTTTTGATTATTATATGGCGAGGAGATGTTTTTCTTTGATCCAGTCTGTTTGGTGTTCTGTATGCTTCTTGAATATTTAAATGAATATCTTTCTTTAAGTTGGGAAAGTTTTCTTCCATAATTTTGTTGAAAATATTTTCTGGGTCTTTGAGCTGTGACTCTTCTCCTTCTTCTATTCCTATTATTCTTAGGTTTGGTTTTTTTATTGTGTCCCATAGTTCCTGAATGTTTTGTGTTGAGAATTTGTTGGCTTTGCTGTTTTCTTTGATCTGTTCGTTTATTTTCTTTATGGTGTCCTCAGCATCTGAGATTCTTTCTTCTAGCTCTTGTATTCTATTGATTATGCTTGTTTCTGCAGACTCTGCTCGTTGGCCTAGATTTTCCATATCCAGCTGGTCCTCAGTTTGTATTTTCTTCTTTGCCTTCATTTCAGTTTTCAATTCTTGAACTGTTTCCATTACCTGTTTGATCGTTTTTTCTTGGTTTCCCAGGGTATCATGTACGTATTTACTCATTTCTTCAAACTTTTTGTTATACTTCTCATCCATTTCTATAAGGGCATTTTTTACATGTTGTTTAAGGGACTCTATTGTCTTCATAAAGTCGATTTTTTCCACTTCTTCTGTGTTAGGTTGTTCAAATACTTCTGTTGTAAGATCATTGGGTTCTGGTGTTTTCATGTTGTTTTTCAGATTATTGGGTGAATTCTTGCCTTGGCGCCTGCCCATCTCCTCCTATTGATCCTATCCAATGGGTCCTTTAAAAACCGGATCAGGTGTCCCTGCTGGCCAAGGGCTCCGCTTACAAAATGCCCTCATTCTCTTTCGTGGTTCCTGCTGCAGGCCAAGAACCCTCTCACCCCTCTGAAGGATCTTCAGGACAGGACCAGGCTCCCCTTGTGCCAGTGACCTGGCCAACCAAAGGCCTACTTCTTTGATTCAATTGTAGTAGGGCGATCTGCTCTCCTTATTGCACGCCTGTCACCGCTGCTGCGCCGGTCCCCGGAAGCCTCTTCCTATATGCGGTGTTGCTCCGCTGCTCCTGGCCGCCGCTGCTCGGCCTCTGTGCGTCTGGCCGAGCCGCCGCTCCGCCTCTCCTGGATCCTGTTTTCTTATCCAATCTCTCAGCCTGTGCCTTTTTATAGGTGAGTTGAGTCTATTGACATTAAGTGATATTAATGACCAGTGGTTGTTTATTCCGGTCACTTTTTTAGTAGTAGAGTTGGTGTGTTTCCCTTCTTTGAGTTGCGCTGGTGAAGGGTCTCTAGATGTCTGAGTTATTGTGGTCATTGTTGGACTCCTTGGTTAGTGATTTTCCTTCTATTACTTTCTATAAGGCTGGATTTGTGGCTACGCATTGTTTAAATTTGTTTTTATCCTGGAAAATTTTATTTTCTCCATTTATAGTGAATGAAAGCTTGGATGGGTATAGTAGTCTGGGCTTGCATCCATGTTCTCTTACTTTCTGAAGTACATCTATCCAGGCCCTTCTGGCTTTCATGGTTTCCATAGAGAAATCAGGTGTAAGTCTGATAGGTTTACCTTTATAAGTAACTTGACCTTTTTCCTTTGCAGCTCTTAATATTCTTTCTTTATTCTGTATGTTTTGTGTTTTGATTATTATATGGCGAGGAGATGTTTTTTTTTTTGGTCCAGTCTATTCGGTGTTCTGTATGCTTCTTGAACCTTCATAGGTACATCTTTCTTCAGGTTGGGAAAGTTCTCTTCTATAATTTTATTAAATATATTTTCTGGACCATTGAGCTGCACTTCTTCTCCTTCTTCTACTCCTATTATTCTTAGGTTTGGTCTTTTTATTGTGTCCCATATTTCCTGAATGTTTTGTGATGAGAGTTTGTTGGACTTGCTGTTTTCTTTGATCAGTGCATTTATTTTCTCTATAGTATCTTCAAAATCTGAGATTCTTTCTTCTATCTCTTGTATTCTGCTGGTTATGCTTGTTTCTGTAGTCTCTATTCATTTACCTAGATTTTCCATGTCCAGCCGGCCCTCTGTTTGTGTTTTCTTCTTTGCCTCCATTTCAGTTTTCAAGTCTTGAACTGTTTCCATTATCTGTTTGGTTGTTTTTCCTTGGTTTCCTAGGGTATCATTCACTGATTTATTCTATTCTTCAAACTTTCTGTTATCCTTCTCATCCATTTCTATAAGGGCCTTTTTTACATGCTGTTTAAGAGCATCAATCACTTTCATAAAGTCAATTTTTTCTACTTCTTAATTAAGGTGTTCATGTCCTCCTGTTGTGAGGTCGCTGGGTTCTGGTGGTTTCATGTTGTTTTTCAGATTGTTGGGTGAATTCTTGCATTGGCGCCTGCCCATCTCTTCCTCTGAATGCTTCCCTATGGATCTTCTTTTACAGGATCAGGTCTCCTTTCCTACTGATATTCCTTCCCAGTGATCGCACTCCCCAGTGATGGCTCACCTGGTGCTCCAGTGATGTCTCTCCTGATGGCGAGATCAGATCTCCGTGCCCAATGATGGCTCTCCTGGTGCCAAGATCAGATCTCCGTGCTGGTTGGGTAGCTCGTAAACAAAGCACCTACCTTGCTTGCTGCAGGCAGGCTATTGAATCAAAGGAGCTCCCGCCTGCTATGTTGCCCTCGGGATTCAGCCCCAGCACCTCAAAGAGGGAAAGGAAGCAGAAAGGGGGAGGATTCTGGATGCAAACTGGGTGGGATAGGAAGAGAGAGGCAGTATGCTGGGAGTATAGGCCCAGCAGGAAGCCCAGGAAGTATAGGGAGAATGAGGAATGTCTGAGTTCCCTGACCATGGCTGCTGCCGCGGGTCCGAATCTCACCCCAATGATGGCTCTCCTAGTGCCGAGATCAGATCTCCGTGCTGGTTGGGTAGTCGTAAACAAAGCGCCTACCTTGCTTGCTGCAGGCAGGCTATTGAAACAAAGGAGCTCCTGCCCACTAGGTTGCCCTTGGATTCGGCCCCAGCGCCCCAAAGAGGGAAGGGAGGCAGAAAGGGGCTAATCTTAAATTTTTTATCATTATATAGAATATATTTTAAATATATGAATCACATATGCAGTATGCTATAGCAGAGCTAACCATATATTTTTATCATTATCTAAAAGTACATGCTAATTTAAAGTACTTGAGACTTTTTTCTTAGTCTAGAAGGAGATATCATGAACAGGGCTCACTGGGATTGTTTAGAGCATTTTCTTAGACAATAGCTACATATATACACAGAGAGTATACGCTACCTTACATGTACATACATAGGGTTAAATCTAAATTGTACACACAAACACATATATTAAACAGGGTTTGAGAAAAATAGTAAGGGAGAACAGTATTGAGCAAGACAAAGACTCTCTCTCTCTCTCTCTCTCTCTCTCTCTCTCTCTCTCTCACACACACACACACACACACACACACACACTCACACTCAGAGCCATATTAAAATCTAGACTCCAGAGATAAACACTGATGTCTGCCATTCTGAGTCTGCTTATCTCTCGTACCATGAGGACATCCAGAACCATCTATTTTCCTACATAGATCCTGATTTCACGTTCGGGACTGACTAGTATTCCACTGCGCATGTGCCGGCTCTCCAACCATTTCCCTGGGTGGTGGACCCCTAGGCTGCTGAGGGCCTGGACTGCTGGCCACGGCTCTGCCTGTCACCTGTCATTCTCATTGTTGTCTTTCAGGGCAGCTCCTCGGGAAAAGGCACAGCTCTCAAGGGCAGGTCAGATGCCGACCTGGTGGTGTTCCTTAACAATTTTTCCAGCTTCGAGGACCAGTTAAACTGACACGGAGAGTTCATCCTGGAAATTCGGGAACAGCTGTACGCATTAGAGTTGAAGTTTGAGGTTCAGAGTTCATGGTGGTTCAACCCCCAGGCACTTGGCTTCACACTGAGCTCCCCACGACTTCAACAGGAGGTGCAGTTTGATGTGCTGCCCGCCTATGATGTCCTGGGTAAGGCAGTCAGCCTCAGCGCCCCCTTCCATCCTCTCTCTCATCTTTCCTGTGTGTGTGTATGTGTGTGTGTGTGTGTGTGTGTCCACACATGTACAGATCTATGCACATGTTTGCAGGTGTGTGTAAAGACCAGAGGCCAATCTTGGATGTCGGTTACTTGGGAGCCTAATTTGTTGAGAGGCTGACTTGGAATTTGCTGGCCCACCTTGGTGGCTCTGGCAGTATGCAGCTGGGGTCAGTGGGGTGTGAGCTCTGATGGAGCTGCACTCCCAACCTCGGGCAACCCGGAGCCTCGGCATGTTTACTAGGTACAGCACAGGGTGGGGGACGGGTGGCTGGTGTGTAGTTGGTGTCCAGAGGACTCAGGCTGTAAACAAATATACTCAGATATATTCGCTCAGGCTTCCTCCACTCCCTGCGAGAAAGCCTGGTTTGTTTGTCTTGTTTTGAGAGAGGTTAAACCTTGATCTGGAACTGGCTGGTGTGTGTGTGTGTGTGTGTGTGTGTGTGTGTGTGTGTGTGTGTGTGTGCTCCCCAAAATTACAAATTGTCCAACTCTACCCAAAGACAATCAGGAACACCCATGAAAGCACAGTGGGGGTTTGGGAAGCTTAGAGAAAGGTTGAGGCTTTACATTTGGGGACACAGCTCCCCCTGTTGACCACTGTGTGAACTGCTGTTATTAACTTAGAGACAAGGTCATTGCCCTTGACTTAAGAGAGCCATAGAAACAGCACAGATCTCAATTATCTCCCCGGCAATTTTGTCTACTTCCCATAGCCAAGAGGACAACTATATGCTTTTCCTTGGGTTCACCTTCTTACTTAGCTTCTTTGGGATCACCAATTGTAGACTCCGTGACCTTTGTTTATGGCTAGAAACCAATTATGAGTGAGTACATCCCATATTCATCTTTTTGGGTCTGGGTTACCTCACTCAGGATAGTGTTTTCTATTTCCATCCATTTGCATGCAAAATTTGAGAAGTCATTGTTTTTTACCGCAGCATAGTACTCTAATGTGTAGATATTCCACACTTTCTTCATCCATTCTTCCATTGAAGGGCATCTAGGTTGTTTCCAGGTTCTGGCTATTACAAATAATGCTGCTATGAACATAGTTGAACAAATGCTCTTGTCATATGATAGGGCATCTCTTGGGTATATTCCCAGGAGTGGTATTGCTGGGTCCAGGGGTAAGTTGATCCCGAATTTCCTGAGAAACCGAAACACCGATTTCCAAAGAGGTTGCACAAGATTGCATTCCCACCAGCAATGGATGAGGTGGGATGGGGGTACGGGGAGATGGGGAGAGAAAAGGGAGAAGGGGAGAATGGGGGGAACTTGGGGAAAAAGGAGGATTGGGATAAAGGAACGTTGGATAGGGGAGCACGGAAGCACAATTCTTAGTTAAGGGAGCCACCTTAGGGTTGGCAAGAGACTTGAACCTAGAGTGGCTCCCAGATGCCCAAGCCGAGGTCCCCAGTTAGTTCCTTGGGCAGCTGAGGATAGGGAACCTGAAATGACCCTATCCTAGAGCAATACTGACGAATATCTTGCATATCATCATAGAACCTTCATCTGGTGATGGATGGAGACAGAGACAGAGACCCACACTGGAGCACTGGACTGAGCTCCCAAGGTCCCAATGAGGAGCAGAAGGAGGGAGAACATGAGCAAAGAAGTCGGGACCACGAGGGAAGCACCCACCCACTGAGACAGTGGAGCTGATCTATTGGGAGCTCACCAAGGCCAGCTGGACTGTGACTGAAAAAGCATGGGATAAAACTGGACTCTCTGAGCATGGCGAACAATGAGGGCTGATGAGAACCCAAGGACAATGGCACGGGGTTTTGAACCTACGTAATATGCTGGCTTTGTGGGAGCCTAGCCAGTTTGGATGTTCACCTTCCTAGAAATGGACGGAGGGGGGAGGACCTAGGACTTACCACAGGGCAGGGAACCCTGACTGCTCTTTGGGCTGGAGAGGGAGGGGGAGAGGAGTGGGGGGAGGGGGAGAAGGGTGGAAGGAGGGGGAGAAGGGTGGGAGGAGGGGGAGGGAAATGGGAGGCTGGGAGGAGGAGGAAATTTGTTTTTGTTTTTTTTTCCTTTTCTCAATAAAAAAAATAAATAAATAAATAAATAAATAAATAAATAAAAAGAAACAGCACAGAATCTTAGGCAGCAGAGAATGAGAGACCCGTCTGGGAGTACGAGCAGGGCAGCATGCAGTGGAAAACTGCAGGAGGCTTGGATACCTGCCTCTGCAGGGGTGCAGAGGGCGTGACCCAGAAAGACCTGGGAGGTGATTCTCCAGAAGGCTGTCTTGGTCATGGACATCCCCAGGCAGCTTTCCAGTAGGGAAGTGGGGCCACCACAGTAGGACCGCCTTGGAAATGACAGTGAGTGACAGCCCCAGAAAGGACCTCACTCACAACTCTACCCAAGACGACTTAGTCAATGCCCCATTGTGTGGTGGACCTTGAAGCTGAAACTCTCCTGGGTCGCTGAGTGACAGGCATGTCCCAGTATCACAGAGTGATTTTGCCATGTGCCAGCATCAAAGCCTGATGGTAAGGTCTGCCACAACCGTGGCCACACACGTGCACACGCCTGAGACACAGCCTGCTGACTGTCTAGTCTACACAGATGTGCACACGCCTGAGACACAGCCTGCTGCCTGTCTAGTCTACACAGATGTGCACACACCTGAGACACAGCCTGCTGACTGTCTAGTCTACACACATGTGCACACACCTGAGACACAGCCTGCTGCCTGTCTAGTCTACACACATGTGCACACACCTGAGACACAGCCTGCTGCCTGTCTAGTTTACTCAGATGTGCACACACCTGAGACACAGCCTGCTGCCTGTCTAGTCTATACACATGTGCACACGCCTACGACACAGCCTGCTGCCTGTCTAGTCTACTCAGATGTGCACACACCTGAGACACAGCCTGCTGCCTGTCTAGTCTACTCAGATGTTCACACACCTGAGACACAGCCTGCTGCCTGTCTAGTCTACCCAGATGTGCACACGCCTGAGACACAGCCTGCTGCCTGTCTAGTCTACACAGATGTGCACACACCTGAGACACAGCCTGCTGCCTGTCTAGTCTACTCAGATGCGCATACGCCTGAGACACAGCCTGCTGCCTGTCTAGTCTACGCAGATGTGCACATACCTGAGACACAGCCTGCTGCCTGTCTAGTCTACGCAGATGTGCACTTGCACCCACACACAGTCACACAGCCATATGTGTTCCCTAGCCTGCTGCCTAACCACTCTACAAGCTCAGGAAACAACACACACACCCTACTCCTCTTAGGACCTGGGCAAACAAAACCACATGATACTCATTTAGGTACGACAGAAAGTCATCCAGTGAAAACGCACAGCTGTTGGTGAGACAGCTCAGTGGATAAACACAAGCATGAAGACATGAGTTCAAATACTCAACACTCACCTAAACAGAAAGGAGCACAATTGACCTCTAACCGAGGACTTACATGACCAGAGACAGGAGAATCTCTGTGGTCTGCTGGTCTTCTCAAAGGGAGACACCTTATGTCTTCCCATGAACACTTAACATAAGTGTGTACTTTCTCCCAAACACACACAAACGATATATACACCAGACAAAAATACGACAGAGACACCGTAAGCCGGTCCATGATATAAAATATATCAAAGTGCTCCACAGTAAACTCCAACACAAGCAGGAGTGTACACACATGACATGCACCGTGCAGAAGATGCTGGACACCAGGGCACGGTTGGCCATTATTAAATGACCGTGCAGCTCTCTTGTGTATGACCTCAGTGTGCTGTTTCCTCCCACCACTGTCTCCAGGACCATTTGGTGGCAGGAACTTTGCAGGGCCGCATGATGCATGCAGTCCTGAGGTGAGGGATGACACATGGATGAATGGGGAGTGATGCTTGCTAAAACTCTGATCGCTTCACTGAACCCCATAACCTGTGAACTTGTCACCCCACAGATAGACCCAGAAATGCCAGAGAAGGGCTGGAGAATTAGCTGAGTAAGGCCTCATTTACAGGTCATGTCAGCACTGACAGGAAACCTGACCCCCAAATCTACAGAAGGCTCATCCGTGAGTGCACCTCCCTGAGGAAGGAAGGCTAGTTCTCCACCTGCTTCACCGAGCTCCAGAGAAACTTCCTGAAGGATCGTCCACCCAAGCTGAAGAGTCTCATCCGCCTGGTCAAGCACTGGTACCAACTGGTATGGCATCTGGTCCAGCCACTGTGGGCCACATCTTACAGGGCAGAGAATGGAAGGGGTGATGAAGAGGAAGAAAGATGAGGAGCAAGGTGGGAGGGAAGGAGTGGTGGGAAGGGAAAGAGAGCTGAGAGGTGAAGGGGAAGTCAGGGAGGAGATGCTGTAGGAGAGGGAAGGGGGGAGGCTGGGAGGGAGGGAGGGAGGACGAACCTGGGAGGAAGGAGGACTTCCCATGTTGTTAGGAATGATTTCTTCTAGTCCAGTTTCCGTTCAGCTAACTCACTCTTCAGCTGCATCTAATTCACTGTTCATGAGTCATTGTGAACTCTGGATTTCTCTTTCTTTGTTGCATTATTTAGAGACAGGGTCTCACTAGGAAGCTATTGATGTCCTGGAACTCACTATGCAGACCAGGCTGGCCTTGAACCCACAGTTCTGCCTACCTCTTCCTCCCATTGCTGGGATAAAGGTGTACACCATCTCACCCTACTGTATCTTCAGATTTCTGGTTCTTTCTTCATTCCTTCTTTCCTTTCTTTTTCTTTCTTTCTTTCTTTCTTTCTTTCTTTCTTTCTTCTTAAACATGCACTGGTACCTACTATGGCTTAGATTTTCCTGATGTGTCAAGCTATGCTTTCTTTACATTCCCATCCTGCAATATTTCTGGAGTTTTTATATGTGTGTGAGATAGATCTGGTGTGGTATATGTATACCTGCTCTTGGGAGCACCTGTCTATGTGTGTGCATGTGTGTACATAAGCATGTGGAGACCAGAGAGCGATGCCAGGTCCTCAGTCACTCTCCACCTTTTATATCCAGACAGGGTCTCACACTTGAGCCCACAGTGTGCTGAATTAGCACTTCTGGATCGTCATATAGTCCTGGGGACCCCCATTTCCATCCACTTAGGCTGGGATAAGGAGTGGGTTTCCTCACGAGCCTGACAGTCATGTGTTTTCTGGGATCTAAGCTCTGGTCCTCACCCTTGCAAGGAGAGGGTGGCACTTTACCCACTGGGCCCTCTCCCTAGCCTTTCCCCAGTTATTTCAGCCCTGTGATAAAACCATCAATGGTGAGCACCATTACTATCCCGCCCCTACCCTCACTCCCTGGCTATCAATCACTGTGTCATGATTCCTCCTGTGCCTGCCGGTAAATGCTCAGTCTCTGTGCATCACACGGTCTCCATGTCAACCACACAGCCCTTGGCTATAGCATGGTAGTGCACATAGACTGAATCTACAAGGACGGGTATGACTGTGTGTCAGTAAGCCTGTGATGACATCAGGTGGCAGCTGAACTGACCCCGTGAGAAGTGGTCCCCACACAGCTGACAGCCCTGGTTTTTTTTTGTTTTTTTTTTTTTCGAGACAGGGTTTCTCTGTAGCTTTGGTGCCTGTCCTGGAAACTAGCTCTTGTAGACCAGGCTGGCCTTGAACTCCCAGAGATCCACCTGCCTCTGCCACCTGAGTGCTGGGATTAAAGGTGTGCCCCAGGCTGATAACCCTGTTCTCCTCACTGCCTTCCTCTTCTCAGTGTAAGGAGAAGCCGAGGAAGCCGCCGCCCCCACAGTATGCCCTGCAGCTGCTCACAGTCTACACCTGGGAACGTGGGAGTGGAGTCACTGAGTTCAACATAGCCCAGGGATTCCGGACAGTCTTGGAACTGGTCACCAAGTACAGGCAACTTCGAATCTACTGGACAAAGTATTATGACTTTCAAGACAAAGAAATCTCCAATTACATGCACAGACAGCTCAGAAGAATCAGGTAGCCTGTCCCCTCATGACTCAGTTCCTCACCAGGGGCTCCAGTCTATAGCAGTGGAAATTGGGAGGTGGGAGCTCCATCTCCTGTTCTGCCACTGTGCTGGGCACTGTCCTGCTGTTACCTGATTGACATGAGGACCTGTAGCCCTGGGAGGCAGGGGTGGGTTCTCCTGTCTGCAGATGAGGAGACCAAGGCTCTGACCTTGTCCAGACCCAATCAGTAGAGAGGAGAGTGCATGGAGCCGGAACTGAGCTGTAACAGTATGGTAAGGGCTGCGAGGCACAGAACAGTGCTGGACTAATGAACAGTAAACAATGCAGTAGACTTGTTACAGCCTTGATCGTGTGTTGCGTTCTACCCTCACACCTCATCCTTTGAGATGGGCTGGTTCAACTCTCTCCATTTCACAGACCAGAGAGGCTGAGGGACCTGACCCAGGACACACAGCTACTAAAGGGTATAGGATTGGAACACAGCCCTTCCAAGTCATGTCCAGGGATCTCTCCAGGCCTTATGCTCTGGGACAGGAACTCAGGACAAACTGTCAATAGCGGAGCTCTGCTGGGCTCCTCCCTGTCCCTGTGCAATGTCATCTGTGGCACTGGTCAGCTGGTCAGCTCACTCTCTGAATGTTGCTCTGCAGGCCTGTGATCCTGGACCCGGCTGACCCAACAGGGAACGTGGCTGGTTCCAACTCAGAGGGCTGGCGGCAGCTGGCAGAAGAGGCTGCAGCCTGGCTACAATACCCATGCTTTAAAAACTGGGATGGTTCCCTAGTGAAACCCTGGGATGTGCCGGTGAAAACTTATCATCGTCTTGTCCTCTTGCACACAGATCTGGTCACACCACCTATTTCAAGAATATTCAGACAAAGATGCCCAGGCTTATAGGTTTTCCTGCCACACTGATTGCTTTACAGTTATTCTCAGAAATTGACACATCACCCCTGCAGAGTTCCTGTCACTTGGCCTCCTATGGAAGGACAGCCTCTCCTCTGACTGTCTGATTTGTGTTCAGGCTCCTTCCTATATTCTTTATTATACACTGGGTCCTCACACATGCTCTGTCCTGTGGTCTTTATCATACAGTAGCTCACTGGATCTGCACACACACTTGTCCTGTGTTCTTTATCATAGAGTACCTCAGTGGATCTGCACACACGCTCGTCCTGTGTTCTGTATCATAGAGTAGCTCACTGGATCCTCACTAGGGCTCTACAAGGTGGACTTAATAGCATCCTTGTCTTTCTGGTTGAACAAGAAGGCTCAGGGCTGGGGATATGGTTTAGTCAATAAACACTTGTCACATAAGCAAGGGTAAGGAGCTTAATATCATCCCCAGGATCGTGTGAATAAGCCAGACAATGCACTTGCCATTGCAATGCATGGACAACAAGATTCCTGCCCTGGTTGGTGAGGGAGCATAGTCTCCTTAGTGAATTCCAGTCCAGGGCAATCCAAATGCCAAGGTGGACAGCAGTTGAGGGCTATAGTGTTCTCTGTTGATTGTGCACACACAAATACATATATACACAAACATATATACACATGCAAATGCACATGCATACAGAAACACACACACACACACACACACACACACACACACACACACACCCTTGGCCACTAGGGTGAGAAAGCTGAAGCCATTGGCTCAGGAATGCTCAGCTAAGGAGAGGAGGGGCTGGGATTCTTGTGAACTTTGAAGCCAGTGCTCAGGTCCTTGAAGCAGCCCGTCTTTCCTGTCTCATCATCATGTGGCCAATGGGACTCAGCAGGGCCGTGTCTCAGCCAAAGAGTCACAGAGGGACTTGTACTTGGACATTTCCTCTCACTGGACAGGGAGCTATCTAATGCTAGGGAAGCGATGAGGTCATGCGTGGACTCAGGATGGAGCTTAGCATGGGTGCATGGATGTGGGAAGCAAACCTCAGGTGGTCAGGAAGGAAAGGAGAAGGGACTCAGGAGGAAGACAACTGTGCCTGCTGTGGTCTTTAGGACTGTCTCACAGTAGACTGTGGCTTGTCCCTTCTCTTATTTGGCAGATCTGTTACGGAATGAGGGGAACTCAGGTAGGGCTTTGTACACCTTCAACTGGCTAAGACCCCTGTCCATCCCCAAAAGTCCTGATGGCCATCTTCCCAACATGGGGATGCACTGTCCCTTCTTCTGAGGGGCTCCAGGTGTCCAGGCATGGTGCCCACCCCCAGGGCTCATTTTCATCTGCTTCCAAGTAGCAGTGCGGGCTCATGAAATGATCATGTGTTTTCTGTTACAGACGGAAGTTCGTGTCCCACAACAACAGGTTAGCTATTTTTCTTTGTTGTTTTTGATTGTTTTGATGTGGGCTTTAGCTATGTAGACCAGGCTGGCCTGGAGCTCACAATCCTCCTGCCTCAGGGCTGGAAAGACTGCAGTGTAGGCCTGATGTACTCTGCCTTTCTTCTTCCCCAGGTGAACGAGAACGGGACATTCATCTCCTGTGAGCACAGCAGCATCTGCCCGGAAGGCTCCAGAGTCAGGGGATGTGCAGGCTTTGACCAGAGAGGGCAGGATACTGCCCAAGGCCCCAGGGAGGGAATGTCCAACCTGGGGTCAGACTCCAGGCTTCCGATCCCTGCCTGCTGAGTCTTCCATCCTGTCCCATCATAGACAGCCTTTCTCATAGCCTGCTTCATCCACCTTATCCTCTGACAGTGTTCTCTGGGGAACATGAGATTCAGAAGGGCAGGGAAGAACTCAAGTTTGACTTCTGTCTGTGCACCTGTTCTGTCCAATGCCTGATCAACAACAATAAACCACAGCAGATGCAATGAGGGTGTGCGAAACGAGCCAGATACCACCCCCTCTCTCTCTGTCTTCATGGTTCAGTTAGGTGCATTTATTGAGCACATACTACATGGTCCAGGGGTCCAGGCACTTAGCACTCATCAGTGGACAGTTCAGAACCAATCCATGACAGCGATGATGCCGCATGGTTTGGGTTCCTTCCAGGTTTCTTACATATAAACTCAAGACAGTGTCCCTGGTTCCTTCTGTCCATGTCCCCAAGACAAGACTCAAGACCTGCCCCATCTGACTCAGAAGTTGTTCTGCAGCTGTGCATGGCTACGGGGACTTGGGAGTGTGATCAGTGCACATGAAGATGCATGGTGGCATGGTGGCTGCAACATGCAGGCTGGGGTTTGAAGAGGCATGACAAAAATGGACTGAATTTGTGAGACTGGTGGTCACAAAAACAGAAACATGGTTGTCTGTGGTGATGATGAACTTTTGATGCACTGAGTTAAATCACAGTGGGTGTCTGCTTCCTTTTTCTCTTTCTGAGACAAGACCTCATTATGTGGCATAGTCTGATCTGGAACTCACAGGCATCCTCCTGCTTCAGACTCCCAAGTTCTGGAATCACACACACACACACACACACCCTCCACACAGAGACCTAATGGCTCCATAGTCCAGTGTTGTGAAGCAGCCGCTCATTTGTCAGATCCAAGACAACCATGTGTGCTCAACTCTTGCACCCTGCTTACTTAAGAGTTAAGGGCATTGCACAGGACACCTGCTCCCAAAGCCTGCTCCTGTCCCCAGTGCCCACTCTCTTAATCACTGTGTGTGTGTGTGTGTGTGTGTGTGTGTGTGTCCTTCCAGCCCTCGTTCATTCAGTTCTTGCTCTAATAGCCCTGAGAACCAGGAGGCCCAGTGTCCTAGAGTGTGAGAAGTTGCATGTCCCCTAGACCTCGGAACAAATCACACTCTGCATTGTGCTCTATCTGAGCCCCTGGTGACCCTGGTGATGCTGGTCTACTATTCCAGTCTTGCCTCTTCTGAAACACCCCCAGATACACAGAGAAGGATTTGACAACCAGTGCCCAGGGGTTCCTCATATATCCTGCCAACCTGAGGGGAGCCATCATGTACCTCACACTATAAAGCTAATATACATGTGATATATAATGACAGCATCCCATGTCTCTATGATGGAATGACCCCTGGTGTGGACCTTCAGCGCCTTCCCAATGATAAAAACCACGGAGGCTAACAGCAGGCTACAGGAATGAGTGATGAGCTGCCTTACAGAGGAGCCCATAAGGTGGCTGGGTCAGGTTTCCATGACAACAGGGAGACTGAAGATCATTTCTCAGATGGAGTAAGATGACCATAACTGACACTGTCATACCACTGTGTCTGACAGCCATGTTGAACAGTGTCATGCTTGCTCCAGACTGGACATGCCCAAGAGCCCTTTGGCCCTAAGCACAGTGCTCATCCATGCTCTTCCTGTGGGTGCCATCTTGGTTCTGACTTAGCATCCATCCTGGCCAGAAAAATGGCAAGGCTTGATGACAGACACTGGGTTTTCAAGCTTAGTCTTCAACTTTAATCTTCTGCCTGAGGTCAGGAGCTCCCTCCTCTCCAGGGTCCACCCACTGAGTAAGGAGTGTATGTCCATTGGGGGAAGCATTGCTCTGCCCACCATTTGACCACAGGGTTCAGTTCCCAGGAAGCCCCTTCATCTACACTCAATGGGTTCAACTCTGAAGTTCAATACATGTCAGGAACTTGGGGTGTGGGGAGGAAGCTGCTGTGACAGTCATTGCCTTCACCCTTTAGCTATCTCTTGTGGTTCCTTCTAATGGCCCACGATGGCTCATCTTCATGACCAACTTCACCATCCTTAGATCCTCTGTGGAAACACTTCTGGGCATGTCGAGGGCATTTATAGAATTGTCTTCTGACTGCTTCCTTCACTCCAGAGCCTGCTGTCAGCGCTCCTCCCCATCTGTGGAGTTTCCTCTGGATTCACACAGCCTGAATGATGTTTGATAAGACCAACTATCAGAATGGTTAAGTGGCTTCTGACCAGGTGACCTAGAACACATAACTGGGAAGAAGGGCTCTTCTGCAGAGGGAATTGGGAAAGCTGGATCTCCATTGATAGGAATAAATCCTACCCTCACCTTGGGCATGTATAAAGACAATCCAAAATGGAAGCAGAAATCCCTAGAAAACAGAATATCTTAGCCATGATGACCTTGGCTGTTTTCTTGGCTCTGACATTAAAACCACAGACAACTCAGGATGATTCTTTTATGTCAGGCCTCATGCATGCTGGGTAAGCACTCTGCCACTGAGCCACACCCACAGTCTCTCAGTGGAGCACTTCAGACAACTCCTTCCCTTCTGAGCCACACTCCTGCTGCCTTTCTGCTCTCACACAAGGAATCCATTCTTCATGGAGACATGTCTCCCGTGGACTTGCTTTAGCGTGGAATACATGATGAGTGATATGATGGGTGCCCTCAGCTTGGTAGGAGACCCCTGGGCATTGTTGATTCAAACCTTTGTGTATCTGGGGGTGTTTCAGAGGGGGCAAGACTGGAATCATAGGCAGCATCATCTGATTGTGACCATGTCCTGGTTCTTCCATTTCTTCCTTCTTGGAATAAAGAAGTATTTAACTTGTGTTTTTAATGTTATAAGAGCCCACAGTTGAGAGACTAATCTTTATAAGTGTTGAAATTAAAAAGAATAAAACACTTTGGGACTTTTAAAGCTATGTTGTGTTTTATGATGTGATATTGACTTGAGATCTTAGGAATAAGTAAGAAAGAAAAAGTTATGGTTTAATAGTAATGTGTTTGAGTATCAAATTGAAAGGGGCTTGTTTGTGAAGATTAGTTTTTGTCAATTAGATATCAGATAGGGTCATCTAGTAGAAAGGAACCTTAATCAAGAAAACAACTCTATCATACTCGGTACGGGTGGTCTTTGCAGGCATGTCACTGATTAGTGATTGATGTGGTTAGTGCTGTGCCTGGGCAGGAGGCCATGGGTTGTATAAAGAGCAAGCTCAGTGTCCGTGGAGAACAAGGCAGTGAGCAGAATTCCTCCATGGTCTCTGCTTCAGGTACTGACCATTCTTCCCTTAGTGAAGGACTGTGACTGGGATATGTAACCTAATAAGACATTTTCTTCCCAGGAGAGTTTTAGTCAGGTGATATAGATATCCTGTCAAAAGAAAGCAAACTAGAACACCCTTTCTATTCTCTGACTGTATTCAGTGGCTGTATAGACGGGGCTCACAGTGGATGGGCCAGACGCCATACCAGCTTGATGGAGGAGGGTGGGTCATCTGTCTATCTCTTGTTTCATTGGTTAATTAATAAAGAAAACTGCTTGGCCTAATCGGTTAGAACATAGGTAGGCAGGAAAGACAGAAAAGAATGCTGGGAGGAAGAAGGCAGTGAGGCAGATGCCATAGCTCTCCTCTCTGAGATGGATGCAGGTTAGATTCTTCCCAGTAAGCCACCACTTCGTGGTGCTACACACATTAATAAAAATGGGTTAATCAAGATGTGAGAATTAGCCAATAAGAGGCTGGAACTAATGGGCCAGGCAGTGTTTAAATGAATATAATTTGTGTGTTGTTATTTCGGGGTATAAGCTAACCAGGCGGCTGGGAGCCAGGCGGCAGGAACGCAGCCTGCTGCTTCGTCTACACCAGTTGGTACCAATGCTTGACCAGGTGGATGAGACTCTTCAGTTGGGTGGTCGATCCATTAGGAAGTTATGCTGGAGCTCTGTGAAGCAGGTGGAAAACTTGCCCTACAGCCCCAAGGAGATGCACTTCCTGATGAAATTTGTGTAAATTTCAGGGTCAGGCCTGTGATTGTTTCTGATATGACCTATAAATGAAACTCCACTCCATTAACCCTCCTCTCTTCTCTGGGTTTTCTTGATCTATCTAAGGAGTAACAAGCTCCCAAGCTGTGGGGTTCAGGAAACAGGGCATTGTTTTACCACAGCAAGTATCACTCCCCACACATCTGTGTGATCCATCACACCTTAGGACTGCGTACACCTTGTGGCCCTGGAAAGTCCCTGCCAACACTGGTCCTAGTGCAGTTCCTTCTTCACAGGCCTGGAGACAGTGGTAAGGGAACCGCTCACTGTGTTCACACACAAAAGAGCTACACTACCTTATAATAATGGCCAACCACATTCTGTGTGCCCGGTGTCTTCTGCACGGGGCTGGCCATGTGTGCTGGTGTCAGATTCACTGTGGATCAGTCTGCTGCATTTATATATCTTGTATATCATGTCTCCAGTGTCTCTGCCCTGTTTTGTGTATGTATGATGCTGTGAGTTTGTCAGGAGGTACATACATGTGTGTAGAGCCCAGACGAGGACATAAAGCCTCTCTTGTTAATTTTCAAACCCAGGGCAAACTGAGATGCCTATTTAGCATACCAAAGTGAACCTAGCAGCCAGGCTCTCCCAGCATCTGCAGTCCCTACCTGTTACAGTTCCTCCTGCTCGGCATACCCACCCCCACCCTGAACATTTCAACCCAAAGGCCTGGGCTGTTCTTCCCTGTATAATTCAAACATTTTGATTATCCATCCCTTTAATACCTTTGTCCTCACGGCTGCTGCACCTGGTCCCATCTGTCCCCTCTCCCTTTCTTCACCCTCTCCCCACATTGCCCAGCTCAGTCTGAACATGTCTACTCTGGACTCTCCCAGATATCCCTGTCTTTGTCTGTGCACTGCCTTTTATCTACAATCATCTTTCTCCTCCACAGTACCTAGGAGCAGTCAAGTCCTCTTCTTTCTTTGTTTCTG